GCTGATAAACCTGCCGCGATACCCACGGGAAAAGCGTGTCTGTTTTTAGGCAGGCCTGCAAGGGCAGACGCTGCAGAGCCCTTCTTGAGACCGGGATTTATGAAGCGCTGCTTCGAAGGAGCCCAGTCCTCTCTGAACGATCCCCCCAGTCGCGTGCTGAGGGTCTCGTTTGCCCCAGTCGCTCCCCAGGGCTGAGCCTGTGCCCTGGAAAAGGCCATGCTGGAGGCGAGAGGCTGTGCTCACCTCCGTCGGGGTGGCTAACGAGGGTAATGCAAACGATGGCTAAAGCCAGGCACTTCATTCATCAGCTCAGGGCTTTCGCAGCCCTGCACCCCTCGTCCCATGCATCCCAAAACCTGCGGGGATGCGGGCGTCAGGGTCTCCTTTCAGCTCCTCTCCGAGCGCTGGGCAGGCTCCAGTGGGAGATGCTCCTGCTCTCACCCTCCTCTCCCAACTGTTTGAAGACCTGTGGAAGAGCCAGAAGAAGTCATCGAGGTTCAGCATCCCAGAAAATGGGGCTCATGGGTTACACCGAGACATCCTAAACCATCAACTTAAATATAGTCAGGTTGCAGCAGAGCACAGGCAAAGGAAAACCCATCCCCAGTCTGCACTGGGGTCCGAGAGCTGGCATTTTGGTGACAGAAATAAATGGGCAAAAATTAATTACAGCAGATGAGACCATCGTCTCTGCTGCGCCAACGCTGCACAGGCTCACTTCTCCGGCCAGCGCTGGCGTAAATTGGGCTGCAGGGACGGTTGGAAGCCGCTGGGTGGAACAGGATCCTGCGGGATGCCGGTTGTCCTGGTGCGAGAGCTACGAGGTCCTGGGGCCGGCTGGACCCTGAGCCATTGTATTTGCACATATACGCATTATTTATGTATGTAATTAAGTTTTGTTGATACGTAGATATAGAAAATGTCGTTATATTTGTATTTTCAGGTCGTTGAGCTGGGCTGGTTCAGGTCGTGTTGTGTCACAGCGGCTCAGGCTTGGCGTGACCAGGTAGGTCTGGTCCTGCTGTTTCGGAGCTGCTGCAGGGCCAGGAGCGATGGGAAGAGGGGGTGTCCCCAGCTCAACCCTGTGCCCAGAGCCCCCCCACCCCCTTCCCCGCCGAAATGCTGCTCGAGCCGGAGGCTGAGCTGTCGCAGCCGGGGTATGGGGTGGGTGTCATTTGCAACGATTGCTTTCCAGATCTCTCTATAATATAGCAAGTAATTTAGCAAAAAGAAAAAAAAAAAGAAGCAATGACATGTTTTGCTAACTGCAAACTCAGAGCCTAGGTCAGGTTTCACCTGCAGTGGGAATCAAATTGCCCCTGAGCTGCCTCCCCCTCAGCCAGCATCCATCCATACACGCATCCAGCCGACTCCAAAATAACCTCGCCTTCACCCTGCCCTCCCTCCCCAGCAGCTTCTGGGTCAGAAATCGGTACCCAGAAGAGCCTTCAGAAAACGTTAATCCTGCAGTTTAATTGCTTATCCCTTCTCCTGCCCTACGTACCCATGCAGCATCCCGATGAGCAAGTGCGGGCGCTGCGGTGCGGCTCGGCAGAGCGATGCCACCGGGCACCCACGCGATGGTCCAGGGTGGTGGCTAAATTGGTCTGGGGAGACGGGCGGCTGCTGAAGATGGCCCTAATCCTTCCTCGATTCACAGCTGATTGCCGTGGCAGGGAAAGTAACCAGGAGGCTTCTTTCCCTGTCTGATTTAATCGGAGGGAGCAGCAGCACCTCCTGAGCGCTGTCATTCGGATTTGCTTTGCTCTCTCAGCCGGCTGATACGCCTTTCCTCGCTGCAGGAGCCGAGCAAGAGTCTGACCCTCCTCCAAGCAGCCACGGGGACTCGTGGTTGGGACCAGGACAAGCCGCCCTACCAGGAAAACCCCGAGGGAGGCCCCGGGGGTTCTGCCCTGCGCAGGATTTTGCCCTTCTGCGGGCAGCAATAGCTGTGCTTGGCCATGGATTACATAGGCCAGGGATTCGGCCCTGGGCTGGGAGCCTGCTGTTGCCAGGGTTTGGCACAGGGCTTTTGGACTTCAGCCTCATCCCACTGATGTCAACCTGCTCGGTGAACAAGGACTCCCTGCTCCGTGCCACCGTTTCCCCAGGGAGATGCTTGGGCTGTGGGGGGGACACACAAGGTATTCGAGCTGGCAGGTCCAAGCTGGGCATCTGCATGATGCTGAAACACAGGGGACAGCCCTGGGGCCTCCTCGAGAGGACGCAGGTGACAAGGGACGGCTCCGATGGGGCTGGCATCACCTGCCCCCCGGCCCCTGCCGGTTCAGTTCATCTCATTCACGGGCTGCGGGAAGCCCCCGCCTGGGTGGAAACTCCCCGCTTCCAGCTCTGCCTGCCTGTCCTGCCCGCTCCTGCCCGCTCCAGGCAGCAGCAGTGCTGATTTTGTCATCAGCCGCCCTCCGCGGAAGGCGAAACGCCCTTGTGCAGCGAGGTCCTTTTGCAAAGCAAACGCACAAAGGCAGCGAAGTGCTTGTCTGCGTGGGGAGCGTGACTGATCCCAGCACATCTCCCCAAAACACCCCCCAACCCTGACAGAAGGAAAAGGGTTAATCCAGCGTCTGCCTGAAAGACATCCCATCTCGGGAGCATCAGTGCCGAGGTGATGCTCACGCGCTTGCACCCTCTGCCTCCCTACCTCCAGCCACTTCCCTGGGATTTTCCCCACCGTCCTTTGGCTCCTCAGGTCCAGTCTGGGGCTGGAGGGGCAGCTGAAAAATGAGCCACCAGGCAGTGAGAGAAGTTTCTGAAAAGAGAAGAGGAATCTGCCTTGAATGAAGAGGATTTTAGCACCTAGGGCTAAGCCAATAAACCTCTGCCATCCTCATCTGAACGGGAATTGTTTGCTCACACTCTGGGAGCTGCTTAAAGCCGGAGAGACGCAGAGACTGAATAGCAGTGAGGATGGTGGGGGGAGAAACCCCCTGCCTGGTAAGCCTGTGAGCAGCTCCCTATAGCCCTGCCAGGGCAGTGCTCGCCGGGACGGGTTTTTTTGTGCTCCCCCAGCCACGAGCACCCTGGGACGGGCTGTGCCCCTGCCGTCACCTCTCCTCGACGGGGCCGCAGCAGGGAAGGTGCTCCCAGAAGATGCTCTGTCCTGCCAAACGCGCCAGCCCTCTCCATCACCTGCGGGCCCGGGCCGGCAGCAATCCAGCTGTCCCCAGGTGAAGGCTTCGCTTTCTCCAGCTCACCGTCCCCGAGGTCCCCATCCGAGCAGGACACCATGGAGCCATACGTCCCTGTGGGAGGCATCACGGCAGCTCTCCTCTGCTGCTGCCTCCTGAGCTCTGCGTGGGCTCTGGTAAGTCTGCGTGGCCCCGTGGGCTCCTCCGGTCCCTCTCCTGCATTGAAATATCGTTAATTGTGCAACCCGCTCTAGTCGGGGGCCGCAAGCCCCCCGGCTGCATGTCCCGCTCCGCAGAGCTGCCGGGCAGGAGGGGAGACCTCTGACTCCCGCTAAAAGCTTCCGAGCAGCCATGGAGACACCGCAACGTGATGGTTTTTCCATTTCTTGGATGCATCCAGGGCAGGGTTCGCTGCCTCGGAGGCTTCAGGGGAACAGAAAGCGTGGGGTGATTTATGGTCAGCGCAGGCGAGGCTGGAGGGATGTGGCAAGGGCAGAGCTGGGCGTACCCAGCGCCTCTCCCGAAGCAGGGACCCCCGCTCCTGCCCTGCGCCCCTCAGCAGCCCCCCCTCTGCCCACCCACCCACATGGCTGG